CTTTCCCTATTATTTTTGGTAAATGGATAAATTGCTTCACTAATGCAGAAGTATTACATACATTGCTGGTTTTACATACGTGATGTGTTTCAAAGTGAAGTCCTTTTGCACACTGAGGAGGAAAGCTTTATGTTTTCATTTATTTTTGAACTTTGTTTCATCTTTTTGCTTGGATTATACTTTATGTCTGGCAGCACTTAACATCCTTAGTGCTCGAGGAGTGTTGAGGTGATGATGAAAGATCCCAATTTCTGTTGTGATTGTTCTTCATTTAGTTTGATGGGTGAAGTGACTGAGGTCTTTTTCCCATGGAAAGCATACATGATCTAAGGAAAATATTGGTGATCTTTATAGTTAACCACAGCTTATATGTGTAATCACTGCAGTGTGTCCATAGGCTTGTCTCTTATGTGTGGGATACATACATCTCCTGTTCTTGTGAAATTTGCCCACTTGTTGTTTCACTGAGAGGGCAGTGAATATTTGTATAGCAGTTACTGGTTTTCTCTTCTGCAAAGATCTCCAGAGAGAGGGGAGTGGGGCAAAAGCAAGCTAATAATAACTGGTCAGATGTGACCTTGCATAGGTCTCTTCTGTGAGACAATGTAAGAAACAGATAAAGCACATTCCTTGCTGTGAAAGGAATGAGTTCAGTTCCTATTGAACCTGGTGGGAACCAAGAGTTTCTATCCCCTTGGGAGGCAAGGCTTGGCATCTTGCAGAGGACTGAGGGCTCTGACTTACAGGCACAGCATGATAGCTGTATCAAAATGTGTGCATGCGTGCACATGGGTTTAAAATAATCTCAGTTGTTTAATAAGCTTCCAGATAGGTGTTTGATTGCTAGCTGTCATCAGATTGTAACAAAACTAGACCATTACTCTGTATTTGCTCTCTGCTGTCAAATGGTATTATGGCAGAGAGTTGATCCAGAAAGGCATAACTGTGAGAGTCTAGATATGAGTAAGAAGATGGTTGCAAAGGAGAAACCAAGTGAGCCTTTTTCTGGCCTTAATTATTGAAACACAGCTGTACTTCTTCTGCGGATGTGGACATGGTCCTAGTGAAGCAGCTAATTCCTCTCTGGTTTGTAGCTACCACACTGTCATTGTATGGTCACATGCCTTTGAGAAGCAACTGAGGTTGCTATTTGAGTATTCTTTTGCATCCCTGGCATGGGTTTGCTGTCTTGTGTTGGCCTGGGTGTGGGTCACAGTGGGGCAGCCAGAGAATTGCCACCCTCTACCTTGGCCCTGGACCAACACCGGCACATTGTGAGCTGAGTTCCCTCAGATGAACCCTAATAAACCAACCAAAAATCCAGTCACTGTAAACTAACTTTGTAGAATGACTTCAAGCTCTGCAGAGCATATGTAAGGAATAGTTGTTTACCTGTTCTGGTTTTCAGTAATATCTGCTGGGTTAGATATTGTACACTCTTCCACATTGCTTATTTAGAGCTTTCAAACCAATGCTGTTATGTATATTGTAGAATTAGGAATTATTTGGGAATTACCAATTATGTTTTCCTGTGTGATGCCAGTCCTCAATTCTTGTCAATATTTGCCCTCATTTTCTGTAATTCTAATGTATTTTTGATAGTACTTCTTTGAATTGCCTGCCTTTTCTCATTATAAAAAAAACTGCAAATGCTTCTGTAGTAACGACATTTCAGTTTGATTTTTTTAGTTAATTACAGTTACTAGAATGGGTTGCCAGGGTTTTGTTTCCAAAGAGTTTGGGAGCGGAGGGAAATGTCAGTTGTGTTTATGAGGGGATGACACAAGTCATTAAATCCATTGAAAACTTCTGTTGAGTTGGGCAGCCTAGCATTAGGCTGATGCAGTTGGCTTGGGGTGGGGGGGGAGTGGGGGAGAGTCCCACAACTTAACTGGACTAATGTTGCCTAATTGGGCTAATTTTCTTTCTGCTTCTTTTTTCTTTACAACAGCAACATGGCCAATGCGCTTGCAAACGCCATCTGCGAGCGCTGCCGGGGTGGCTTTGCCCCTGCGGAGAAAATTGTCAACAGCAACGGGGAGCTGTACCACGAGCAGTGCTTCGTCTGTGCCCAGTGCTTCCAGCAGTTTCCCGAAGGGCTCTTCTACGAGGTGAGCAGCCAGAGTGCCCCACTTGCCCCCAGCCTTTGCCTTGTGCCTTCATTCCATAGCAGAAGTAGCTATGGGCAGATCAATAGCTTAGAAAGTCCAAATGGCAAGAACTGAGTTCCAAAAGGATATGACCAGAAGAGGGAGAAAAACACAGAAGTATCTCTCTGCTAATTTGGAAGGCTTCAGTATATATAACCGTATTTAATGTGTAGCCTAATTTGATCAGAGCTGAGAAAAAAACTGGTGGAGATTTCTCTGTCAGTACAGAGTTTTTCCTCTGAAATCAGTGAATCTGATACAACAGAGAATCACAAAATGGTCTGTGTTGGAAGGGACCTAAAAGATCATCTAGTTCCAACCCCCCTGCCATGGGCAGGGACACTTTCCACTAGATCAGGTTGCCCAAAGCCCTGCCCAGCTTGGCCTTGAACACTGCCAGGGATGGGGCAGCCACAACTTCTCTGGGCAACCTGTGCCAGGGCCTCACCACCCTCACAGTAAAGAATTTTTGCCTAGTATCTAATCTAAATCTCCCCTCTGACAGTTTAAAACCATTCCCCCTTGTCCTGTCACTGCATGCCCTTGTAAAACATCCCTCTCCAGATTTCATACCAGAAATACAGAGAAAGCATACTGCTTTGAGAACAGTCATATAGAGGGAAACCCCAGCATCTTGCAGTCCATAGGAGATTTACCGCTGAGTTGAGTGAGGCCAGCATGGCATGTGAATAGGTGCACTTAGAGATGACGGTAAGTCAGCATGCTGTCGTCAGGGTGTGCAGAGAGCCCAAACCAGATGGGGCCTATATAGGGTCAACTCTAGGTTCAACGAAGTGGAGTATTCAAAATGAGCAGTTCTGGCATGCTTTCCAGGGTTAAAACCCGTTCTCATTCATATTTCTCAGCCCCAGGTAGATTGCCCTCAGCTCAGATGAGTATTTTGATACCAGTGTAATTTTCTTTTGCCTTCTACTGTTGTGGGCATTCAGATGTGGCTCAGCTATCTCAAGGATGAATTGGCTTTAGTGAAAGCTATAGCCTAGCTCATAAAACCTGAAGCATTTCTTACAAGGAAGGATAGATGATGTGAGACAGGGAGTTGCTGTTTGAGAGATAAGGTCTCACTCAAGTGGCTTGTAGTCCAATTTACAGTAAGTGGTTACAGGGTTTATGTCATACTGTGATCTGAGAAGGGAGGTGAGGAGTGTGTTAAAAGCACAATGCTATGCCCTCACATGCAGTGTGCCATCCTTGTGGCAACAGCACAGCAGTATTTCTAATTTTACAGAGCCACATTACATGGTGATGAGGGAGAAGCGTGGATTGGAAGAGAGGTGGCAAAGGAGATTCCTGGGGTTTTCTTTCTCTCACCTTGTTTTAGGATCAAAAGACTTTTCACTGCTGTAGGGATAGTGTTGCACAAGTTGTGGTAAAGTTGCTTCTAGTGTTCTGTAAGACATCAAAAGGTGAGCTGCAAGGCAGGAGCAATTAAATTAAAACAAAACAAAACACCCCCTAGATACTTACGTGTTGCATTACAATTGTTATATACTGAGCTGCTGCCTACTTGCAGGCATGGTAAAGAGTCCATCCTGATCTGTAAGATCTGAGGCAAGCGTAAAGTGATATGAATGTTCTAAACCTGAAGTATTTGTAGTTGTGTTAATAAAATGTATTTGCTCTACCTGAGTACTTTATTCATCCTTTTTCTGACTCAAAAAAACAGTGAGACATTCCAAGGACCTCTTTCAGAAAGTTGAACGGTCCTTTGTTAAATATAAAAGTATGAGAAATCCTGCTGTACACAGCCTGTATCTCCTAGGGGATGGACAAGAAAATCTTACTTTTCCACCTACTCCAGGTGGTTGCTCACAGGTGGCCATCCCTGAAACTCTTTGGCAGAGGCAAGTGTCCTGATGGTGTTTAGATATACTGGATTCAGGCATTTTGCTTCCTACTGCTACCTTGTTAACATTCATATTCATAATGGTTTGAGCACTCTCTTATTGCAGGGTGATGCTCCCTGTTAAAGACAGTAAGTCAGAAGTGAGTGTCAGTAGATTGTTCTGGGAATGAAAATAGCCCCATGTACTAAACGTGTTGGTTAATGTCACTAGGGCTTTTTTTCAGGCTGGGTAGAGACTTTGTTCTTGAGAAATGTCACACAGAAAGTGGAAAGTTTCAGTTGAGACCGGACATTTTTTGCCACAGCTGGCAGAGGTCAAATAATAGATGAGGATTAAATGAATATGTAAAGACTTGTGTGTGACTTGAACTTCACATCACCCTTCTAGCCCTTCTAGTGTGCCTCTGGCCCTTCTGGTGTCCACCACAAGGTTTTGTCCATGTCAGCAAGTCTCTCTGCTGCTGTTGGAGAGAGGTACCTTTTGGCCTGCTTAAGTATGCTTACAGTCTTCCGGTGATGGCTTACACATCTTAACCCACCCTTCCTCCCCCATCTATACTGACCTGTCCAGGGCATTTCTAGAGCATGTGGGCAGGTTGGTGGTGTCCATGCCGTCCCAGTCTTCATGCCTTCAGGGCTGTTTCAGCTGGGAAGTCTTTGGCAGGGCCTTCTCCTCTGTCTCTGAACCCTTGAAGGTATCCACACGTGTACCATGCTGCCAGAAGGACTCTCACTTAGCACTGAAGAGGCCAGTGAGATGATTGCAGTGGAAACCCCAACATGTTTTCTAGTGGTGCTGCTCAGGGAGAAGGATAGACAAGGGCACAGCTTGCTCTTCAGTCATTCAGCACCTGGGTACTGAGAGACGAGAACATACTGGGTGACGGCATTTGGGGGAGAGGGAGGGACAGCCCTAAGCTGGTAGAGGGTAGGCTTAGGTTGGCCGATGCTCAGGAGGTGGCTGACAGTGCTCTGAGGACTTGACATGGTCTGTATCACTGTCAAGAAGAAGTACTGGAAAAGATGAGCAGAAAGGAGTATCTTCCTCAGACTGGCTTAATGTGCTCTTTGGGAAGATCATGCATTTGGAGGGAGTTGTGGCTAGGTAACATGTCTTTCTGAGCAGGCTCTTTGTGGGTAAACACAGGCATTGCTGGTTGCCCGGCATGAGTTTGTGTTTATTCTGTGTCTGGTTTAGCTAAGCTGGTGTTCTTTGGAAATGATTTCCAGTTCTTACCAATTGAGAAGCCAAGTATTCTTCGCCTGCCTATTGCGAGCCTTGCAGAGTTCCCCCAGGTAGTCTTTAAGCTGCTTATCACGTTTGCTGTCAGGCGCTGCCGTGATAAGCTTCCACAGGGTGTTCCATGGGTGGGGGCTGAGCTGGTCAGACCAATGTGGGTCTCCTGTGCCATGGGACATATCTCCAGGCCACGTGCAGGGATCAGCACGGCTCACCTGGTCTGGCACTGGGGCTGAGCCGCTGCCAGGCACAGGCAGAGCACACAGAGCAGTGCCCATGCACAGCTTGGGGTTTGCACAGCGTAGCAGGAATTTTTGCTGATGTCCTTGTCAGCTTATGGTAGAAATGATAATACAGGTTTGTATCCAGCCAGTGTTGGCCTTGTTGCATAAGGGAGTAAGTGAGAGCTGTGTGCCTAATGTTGCATGGGAACTGGGGTTAGGGGCTGCTAGGATACATGTTCCAGTTTGCTCAGTGTTATCAGTTTAGCTTGCTTTCTTATGCCCTCAGCCTGAACAGAAATTAGAACAAGCACATGCCAGCAGTTTCCAAACTCACCATGCTTTGCTGTCACATGTGAAGTGGTAGCAATTCTGGTCTGCTTTTACTCCACTGCCTGAAAGCTGTTCATTCCCTAGAGCTGCTGTTGCAGCCTTACAACAGGTAGCAGTGCACAGTAATGTATTAATAGCAGAACAGCTGGGTAAAGGGAGAGCTCCAGTGGCATTGTGCTCGGAGGGACAGGTTGGCCCCACTATAATCAGTCAGTGGGCATTTCCTCCAACCGATGTTATTCAGGGGGGTTGGAACTAGATGATCTTAAGGTCCTTTCCAACACTAACTATTCTATGATTCTATGATTCTCAGGTCCAAGAATGGCTCCTCCCTGCTAGAAGCTGCCCGTGTTTCCCACTGGGAAGCATGGGGACATCACTGTCAGACAGGAGAGGTTAGGAGAGATGAGTCTTACCCCTGGTCTATCTGTTCATTAAGAGTCTCTTGCTGGGGTGTTTTCAGAAGCCCAACTCATTCTGCGCTGTGCTGAGGTGGGGGAGATAAAAGGATTTAGAGAGGTGCATTCCACAGTAGAGTTAGTACAGCAAAATCCTTATGGACCACTCACAAGAGCTATAATTGGGGAATCTGTATCACCTATTATTATTGTTGTTACTATTATTGTTATTGCTAGTGTTATTATTAATCTCATAATAATCAAATAAAATGGAATGGCACGGAGACCTTATAGCAGCCTTCCAGTATCTGAAGGGGGCCTAACAAGGATGCTGGGGAGGGACTCTTCATTAGGGACTGTAGTGGTAGAACAAGGGGTAATGGGTTCAAACTTAAACAGGGGAACTTTAGGTTAAATATAAGGAAGAAGTTCTTCACAGTGAGGGTGGTGAGGCACTGGAATAGGTTGCCAAAGGAAGTTGTGAATGCTCCAACCCTGGAGGTGTTCAAGGCCAGGCTGGACAGAGCCTTGTGGGACACAATTTAGTGTGTGGTGTCCCTGCTCATGGCAGGGGGGGTGGAACTAGATGATCTTAAGGTCCTTTCCAACCCTCACTATTCTATGATTCTATGATTCTATGAAAGGAGGATGGAGAGAGGAGGTGGCTGATTGATCTCGTTTCCTCAGTAACAAGTGACAGGACAAGAGGTAGCAGTCTCAAGCTGCACCAGGGGAGGTTTAGACTGGCTATTAGGAAAAACTTCTTCATCAAAAGGGTAGTCAGGCATTGGAACAGGCTGCCCAGGGAGTGGTGGAATTACTCCAAAAACTGTGTAGATGTTAAGTGTTCAAAAACTGTGTAGATGAGCCCCTCAGTGGCATGGTTTAGTGGTGGACTTGGCAGTCCCGGGAGAACAGGTGGGCTTGATGATCATAAAGGTCTTTTCCAACCTAGTTGATTCTATGATTCTGTAACTTTTATCTCCTAGATGAGAGAGAGTTCCTTTCAGTTTGGGTCTTTTTCTGAGATATTTGTAATAACCTGTAGGAAGACTAAAGGAAGCTGCAGCTGCAGTGCAGTGCTTGTCCGATTTGTTTCTATTCCAGCTGCACCTTGAGTGTTTTCTTAAAATGGGCTTTACCAGAAACTACCTTAAAAAAAGCATCTTTAGAGACTCAGGTTTTGTGCATGTCTTTCCACTAAGTTAGTTAAAAACGTGGAGATCAGCTGGAGGTTATGTCATGATGAAATGTCCTATGCGGAGCCATTTAACTCGGGGATCTCCAGAATACAACAATCAAATGACCTTGCTTTTAAAGTACGTGCTGTGGGTCATCCACAAAAGGCAGCACAAATGAACTGAGAAGGTTGAAAATATAAACAAGGCTGAATGGTAACCAACCTACCTGACGCAAGCCACAGGGGAAAAAAACCTGTTTGGTCTGCCCAGATCAACATGTGGTGGCGGATTTTGTTTCAGTTTAAAAAGGATTTTACCTGGCAGGAAGCAAGCACAACTCACAACAACCCAATAATTCCCATTACTTTTTGAGAGAATATCAGCACTCTGTCTCTCAATTTTTGTGTTTTGTTTGTTGGTTTTTTTTAAAGCTCCAGTTAAAAAAATAATCTTTTTTAGAGTTTTAGACTGGAAAAACCACTGGATAAATTGCTGGAAGGGACTTCTGAAAGAGTCTGTATCAAATGTGTCTTTCTGTTCTTAGAATGTGCAATTCAGGTCAGGCAAAGGAATTAAGTTTCTGATCTCAAGAGCATTCATTAGATCCTCATCCTGCCACTTGCATGAGTAATTACTATGCTTATATTGTATTTAATCCTTGGAATTTAATATTATTAAACAGGTAATCTTGAAGCACATTGCTGTATTTTCTCTCCATCCACCAAAACTTAATGTGGCTAGTATTTTATGCTATTTGCTTTGTTTTGTCTTAGGCCCAGGAAAAAGAAAGGAGTGGGGTTTCCTGCTGTCCCCCTCCCTCCACTGTTTTAAACTAAGGCATTAAAATCCAAACATATTATAGCATAATTAATACTGTCTATCTAGTTTTGACATGCTACTTGGCATTTGTGTCTAAAAATGATGTGCCTTGAAGGTATCTAAACATTTCGCTTACTTTCAGGACATACTTGCCTGCATGTTTTTACATATTCTTTGGCTAAATTGCTGATGCAGTGCTGTAGAACTTTTTTTCTCCATATGGGGTTTTTTTCTATGCAAGCTTGAACTGCATCTGAACTTCTTTAAGCTGTGATAAAATTCAGATCCAACTCCCTTTGAGACTGGTTCCTTGTATCATCACATAGGTGTAGTGAACTTTGCTCCTTAAAATTTGGACTCAATTTTAAGGGTCTTTTCCAGCCTAAATGATTCTGTGATTATACAAAATAAGCATTATAAAGGAAAAAACTGTTTTCCTTTCATGTTTTGGCTGTGCTGCTCTGCAAATTGCAAGGATTTGTGTCCCTGGGTGTTTTTTCTCCCCCCATACTTACTTCCTCCATTATGCTGGGTCATTCCTGCAGGAAATGTAGAGTGGGGAAGAGATCAAACAGGTTCAGGGAAAATGCTTCCCCTCCAGGAGAGGTTTTTGTTAGCTAATTTCCTGCCCAGAATTTACCCAGTTGCATCAGAGGCTCAGCAGTCTGTCAAAATTCAGATGTCTCGTGATGTAAATGGGTGACGGAAAATGCCTTACACTCTGAGCAGCATTAGAGGAATGGTGTATTAATAACACTATGTGCGTTGTAGTAGCTGAATTAAGGTGGATGGATTTAATGCCTAGCACATGGTCTGGTTTTTTTGTGCAGCCTCTCATGTTTTACTACCCACTTGCATCTGGAAACAAACTGGTGTGTTACATACAGCATTTATTTTACAGGCATGCTCTTCATTCCTCTAACACTCAGATTTTTTTTTCCATTTGTAGTTTGAAGGGAGGAAGTACTGTGAACATGATTTTCAAATGCTTTTTGCCCCTTGCTGCCATCAATGTGGTAAGTTTTACGTTGAAGTGAAACACTTAACACTGATCACAAACGGGAACGTCACAAGGGGAAGAGGTGCAACCCCTGTGTGTGTGTTCTCCGGGAGATGGCTCTGTGCTGCTGAGCATCTGAACTTCCAGAATGAACTAAACTTCAGACAATTTGGGAAGCTGCTTTTCCTAAAGGTCATCAAACAATATGATGTAAAAAAAAGCAAAAGCAGAAAAAGTTTGCTTACTTGGTTAGGTATTTTGCTTACTTAATTAGGTAATTTAGTTAATTAGGTGTTGATCCAGTGAACAGACTGTTCTTTATTATGGTGATTATATACACCATTCATGACTCCTGATTATATATATCTGTACATCTGCATGTGATCATATTTGGCCCTTCTCATGCAGTTGAAACCCTGCAACAAGTGTTTGTTATCTGCTCTGACACATTGTAATACATCCATGCCGTCCAGCTCCCCACAGAAGCAGCAACAGCCTTCAGCATTTAGTGTTATAATCAAATGATGGTCAGCTGGTCCCCTGTTGTATTTACCTTTAAGGCTTCAGCATCTAATGTCCACCCTATGTAACACCAAGGGCTGCTTTTTGTTTGCCACTGTTGATGTAAATGCTTGCGTGTCTGCTGTGCTGTAATCATTTGCAAAGGTTTTTTTCCTTCCCCGCGTGTGACACATTGTGCTTGGGCAGGGCTGGGAAGTCATTACTTGGCTATTGTTTCCACTAGTCTGGAAGCTCTTGTGTTCCTGTGGCACCTTGGCAAGGCACTACGGTTTTCACTTACCTCAGTGAGGCCTTTCACTGTGTGGAAGGAGGGAGTTAACACCAAGGGAGAGGGAAGCAAATGTTATGGACCTTTGAATTTAAAGCCGCAGATGTGAGCAAGCAGAAGAGGAAGAAATGGGTTGGTGATGATTTCTGAGGAGCTACGCAACCTATCTCCAGGGTTTCTCTCGCCTAGCTGGCGCAGCTCCCATTTCTCCTGCCCTGGCTCCTTGTAGCACCAGCTTCCTTGAAACATCATCAAGGTCCTGCACAGAGCTGGGCTTTGCCACTGCTTGGATTTAGTAAGCACAGCCAAAATGGACATGCCTGTTGTCAGCGATGAGGCCTCGAGCATTCCTGACATTTCTGGAGTCTGTGGGGTTTTGTTCTTGAAAAGCTATGACTTCATGGGAATGCCACAGAGCCTCATGCCCGATGTTACCGTCTGCATCAGTTACCTGCCCGATCGCTTCCCTTTGGCAGCTGCTGGAGTTGTATTCTCCAAGGCCAGGACTCAGCCTCCCACAGCACTTGGTAGCTGATCCCAATGCATTTTACGCAGAGCCTTTGTACTGCTCAGGGGCCTTGGCTACAGTGTCCACATAGGGAACGACTGGATCCTGTGTATGGTGGACATAGCTCCACTGCCTGTGTGATACAGGCACACTGTGCATGCGAAACAGTGATTTTCATGCTATTTTTTAATGCCTTGCAGGACAGGACTCCTTGTGGTAGGTCAGAAGCTGTGTGTGTTAGATCGACTGTTCTGCAGCTTCACTGCAGCTCTGCGTTTTGAATCCACAGGAGGTTTCTTGCAGGAGATCCATAGCCACCCAAGCCCAGTTATGTTGTGCTTTGAGCATAGAGCCTCTTCAAGGCTTGGTCCTAGTGGAGTAGAAACCTCTATGATGTACATGATAAAGCTGTCATCTTCTTAGAAAAAAGGAGAAAGATGATTAGGGCACAAGAGAGACATATTACATAAAGAACTCCATATGTTTCTTAACAGCTTGAGAGCAGATAAGTAAAAACAGAAAAGGGACTGATAAAGGATGGTTGCAGAGAGAGGATAGAGTGTGCATGTAGAAGGGCTTGTCTGTCTGTAAAGAATAGAAGGTCCTTCGTCAGCAAGGATGTTTTCTTCTGACCCATAGCAAAAAAACCCAAACAAACTCAAACACCAGAGTTTAGAACCAGAACTATGATACTGAAAGCAATGTATCCCACCAGATTTGGGGGGGGGAGGAAGAGGAGGATGTTGTCATTCTGGCAATTCTGTTGTGGGTTGGTTTTAACTTTGTCTAGCATGGTATTTTACATCCTGGTGTTGTATTTCTTACAGGTGAGTTCATTATTGGTCGTGTTATTAAAGCTATGAACAATAGCTGGCATCCAGAGTGCTTCTGCTGTGATATCTGCCAACAAGTATTGGCTGATATTGGATTTGTCAAGAATGCTGGCAGGTAGATCTTCACCCTTCCTTCTGCTAACGGTCATGAATAAAATTAAGTAAGAGAGGTTTTGGTTCCTGAAGCTTTCCAGCTGAGTTGGAATAACTGAAGCATCTTTTGTGGGGAAAAGGTCTAAGAGTGCATGACAAAACTAAGAATGGTTATCTTAGAATACACACTTTAAATATTAACAGTTACCTGCTTTAACATCAGGTTTCTTGGCAAACATAGTGACATTTTGGGGCCATTGTTATGCTTAATAAGAGAGAAAATACTCAGTTACAGAAGCACTGTCTTTATTTTTTTAATAGAATTTTGTACTTTCTTTTTTCAACTTAGGTTTCCAATTTTGGTCTTGTTTAGCACCTATTTATTAATAATTGCTTTAAGTTCAGTGGGAACCTTCACAGAGCAGGATATTTTCACCAGCTGTGATCAGACGAATGTTTGACAGGTGAATTTTACAGACGTTGGCTTCATATGTATAATACAAGAATTTATAGCAAAATTTGTTTCAGCACAGCTTAAACTCAAATGAGGCTCCTGTAGTGACAGAAGAGAAAAAGATTGCCCTGCCTCTTATGAACTTGGTTTATCTAGCTAGGAAGTCACTTCAAAGTATACTTCCCTCCAAAAAAGGCTGATTGAAAGGAGGTTCTAATAAAACTTTGGCTTATAGTTTGCACTGTAGTACCTGGTACCAGTACTTACCTCTCTGTTTTTATGCTGTTTCAGACATCTCTGCCGTCCTTGCCATAACAGGGAAAAAGCCAGAGGCCTGGGAAAGTACATTTGCCAGAAGTGCCACGCCATTATTGACGAACAGCCTCTCATATTCAAAAATGATCCTTACCACCCTGATCATTTCAACTGTGCGAACTGCGGGTAACTCGAGTTCCGCGAAGGGAAACGGGAAAATGCTGGCTTTATTTGCTTCATCAATTTACATCTTAAAGTGAAAACCTCTCCCGTACAGCTGGCAACAGGGGTGGGGTTTGGGTGCCTTGCAGCTAGGTGTGTGTTACTGCCTTTGGGAAGGTGGAGTCGGACCTTGAGTTCAACCAACCTGTCAGGGAGTAAAGAAAGATTGGACAAGGTGGTACCTTACAAAATACAAAGTATGGACAGAGAAAATGGTTTCTGCAGTAGCAGAAGGGTAGCTTGTTATTCTGCTATGAGAGGAATAAAAGTGGTCCTCTTTGGCTGCTTGAGTTACTATCTTGCCTGTGTTATTTCTTTTTAGTTGAGTGGCACACAAACTTTGTTCTCTCCTTTTAAAACTTATCTTTTCTTAGACGCTTTCTCCCATCTCATTTTACCAGCTTCTGCAACTGCAGTCCATGAAGCTGTGCATTTTTGCACTGCACTGATGCACAGCCCATGGAGCATTGTAGGATGTAGCATGGATTATTAGTTGTTTATTTCTGGTGCAAAGGAAGCTACCATTTCGTTGCCATAGCAAAGACTGATTTGAATAACGACATGTGTAGTTGTGTCAGTGGCAACCAGCTGATAGCATTAGTGAGTATGGTCACACTGAAAGTTTAGGTGTTCTCAGCACTCTAACCATGCAAATTAGTAGAAAGTAGAGTATACAAGGGCAATGAATAAACATAGTTAGCTCATTTGAGTCCATAGTTTTCTTTCTCTGAAGTTTGATACAAGGAAAATGTACCTAGATGTAGAGGACTATGTTTTACTTTCAGTTACAGCTACACAAATCTAAAATAAACCGGTGATAAGATTGCCAGTATATAGACCAGACACGTCTGCAGCTTGCACACACACATGTGCCACATAACCAGAATGCAGAATGCCAATAGCTCAGCTGCGGTTTCCAGAGACTTAGTGCCTTAGTGCCTCTCACTGTGCAGCCCATTCTCAGTTTATTGTGATCAGTCTCGAACTGTGTTGAACTATGTCATATTTGATGCTGCTGCATTACTGTAGGACAGATACAATTTCTAAAATGTTGAAAGTTACTTTTTTCTTTTCAGAAACTCTCAGGAGTTGACATTGTTCAGTGCTGTTACTCATGTTCTCAATTAATGAACTTTTGAACAGGAAGGAACTTACTGCTGATGCTCGTGAGTTGAAGGGAGAATTATACTGCTTACCCTGCCATGACAAAATGGGCGTCCCCATCTGTGGGGCATGTAGGAGACCAATTGAGGGCCGTGTGGTGAATGCAATGGGCAAACAATGGCATGTGGAGGTAAACATCAGATGATACAGGTTGTCTTTTACGAACATAAATGTTAACATACTTATCTGTGATTTTGCTGATCAATTTCAATGAAAGGATTAGCAAAGTATGCAGCAATGATTAGTAAATGCCTTCTAATCCTGTTTTCAGCCTTCTTGTGGTTGGTCTTCCATGGCAAAACAGGAGTTATTTCCTACCTTACAAAGAGCTTTGACTGTGAAACTAAAAGCAATTATCAAAGGAAGCACTGTGAGGTCTTTTCAATAGAAAATTTCAGAGCATGAAGTAGTATGAGTGGAAATGCACTAAAATTCTGTGTCAACTGTAATGTTACTGAGCACCATAATACCCTTACCTCTTCCATAGGCACCTGCCATGTAAATATCTCTGAAGCACTTTATGTGAAAGTTTGTGTTTCAAGGGTGTGTACAAGACTTAGTTCCACATCTTCAATTGAATTCAGAAAGATAAACAGTTTATTCCTTTTGTTGTCTTCACAAGAGTGTAATCATGTTGCAAATGATCAACAATTTAGTATCTCTTCATTCTGTTCATTGATAACATATGAGAATCCCTTTGCTTGTTTTTTTCTTGTTGTAACTTTTGGATTGAAATCTTGAAGACATTAAAAGGAACATTATTTTAGTGGTCTAAATGTAGGAACAAGAAAGTTTTAATTTTCTTTTTCAAGATGGCACAGCTAGCTCAGTAGACTTCAGTAATGTTCAGCATTGGGTTTGGTTGGTTTGCTTTCAGAAAAGATACCATTACTTCCAAATAATAATAAAAAAATTCTGTGTAATTTTCTCTGTAGCATTTTGTTTGTGCAAAATGTGAAAAGCCATTCCTGGGTCATCGTCATTACGAGAGAAAAGGCTTGGCGTATTGTGAAACCCACTACAACCAGGTAAGGTTGAGTATTTTTTAAAATGGTGTTAATTGGTGAACTCATGAATTGGTTTTATTACGTAGAGATGGAAAACCATGGACAGACATTCTTCTGTTCTCTTACAGGCACCTGTGGGTGTAATGCCAATTAGCAGGTGTTCTGTTGCAGTTAATTCAGATGGGTTTCTCTATACACTGGTCTGGTATTGAGAAAGGAAACTGCAGGTATTTCACAAAGGATAACCAAGACAATCAGTACAGAGTTGTTCTTCAAGCGTAGTGGTACTTAAGTAGAGCTGTTACGAGCTTCTATATGTCTGGGAGACCATAGCAGATAATGGGCTCCCAAGAAGCTAAAGTATATTTGCCACTCAGTAGCTGTGGTTTAAGATAAGGCCCTAGTGACTAATGTCCCTAATGTTCCCTACAGCTGCTGCTCTACGGTGACTGTGTGTTAACACACACACACCGACTCACCCAAGTCATTCATTAGGTTGCTGAAGACTGCAAAGACTAAATTTGTTAGATGACACCACCTAGTGACCACTTGGATTTATATAGGATTCTATACCATAGAATCATACGATCACAGAATGGTTTGGGTTAGAAGGGACCTTAAAGACGATCTAGTTCCAACCCCCTGCAATGGTCAGGGACACCTCCCACTAGACCAGGTTGCTCCAAGCCCCGTCCAGCCTGGCCTTGAACACTGCCAGGGATGGGGCAGCCACAGCTTCTCTGGGCAACCTGTCCCAGTGCCTCACCACCCTCACAGGGAAGGACTCAATCATCTCTCTCCAGACTCCCTTATTGTGTATTCCTGCATCATGATGCATAGACCTTTTTTATTTGGAAGCCGTCAGCACTGTGTCATGTCCACCTCTTCATTTGTATAAATACAAGAGTAAGTGTTATATCTGGGAGTTGTAAGGCACTTGCTAATTACAGATGGATTCTTACTTTGTCAGTGATGAAGGGCAGATGATTGAAAAGTTGCTGGCGTACTTGTAGACAATAAATGCCATGATATTAGTAGTAATCATGTTGCAGCCATGATGGGGCAACCGCAGATCCCAGACAGGAGCTGTATGTAGAGTGGACGTCTTTTACTAGGTTAACTTCTACAGTTAGAAAAAAAGACATGAAACTTTGGGCACTTCTTAATTGTTAAATTGTGGACAAATGTTAAGCCCTGAAATAGAATGAATAATTTTTGGCCTAAATTTTCCTCTTTTTTTTTCCCCCTTCTCCTTTTTTTTGTTTTTAAATAAAAATAACATTTCCTTAATTTTTGCCAGAAACAAATGTTCTAGTCATGCATATAACTCCAAATGTTAAACTGGCTGATTAGTAACAACACATATGTGACACTAACTGCTGTATTTCAAATGCTTGGGATTAGAGAAATGTTAAAACAAAACAGAATTGATCAGAGGTAAGCAAATGTTTTCATCTTTAATATTGTAAAGACTTTTTGTGATGATATAATGCAAAGTGTACTTGGAAAACCAGACCAGACTTGCCAGCATTCTCTTTATTTTACTGAAATACTGTGCCCATCAGCTGAAATATTTTGTTAGTTTGAGAAGTTCCCCTTGATAAAATCATTGCATTAAAAATCTGTCACTTCTCTTTCCTCTTTAGCTATTTGGTGATGTTTGTTTCCATTGCAACCGTGTGATTGAAGGAGATGGTAAGCACTTTTCTGTTTCCTTAATGTTCCTTTCTGATGGAATTTCTCTTTAAAAGTAGAAGGGAAAGCAGCCCCCTGTTGAATCCTTGATTGTTCTCATTAAAACAAAACGAACCATTCTCTTGATCAGAGATTAGGTTAGAGCTGATTAGCCAGAGACCAAATGGTAGGAAAACTTTACAGCAAGCATTTCATGACAGTAGAAGACCACTCAGTGTCTGAACAGAACTCTGGTCAACTGGAAACCCCTTATTGACATGCAAAGGCCAGGAATGCTGGGAGATGCACAGAAGTGGCTTCCTGCCTCACCAACTTCCAAATAGGACACATGCAATGGTGAGAATGACTACACAGGCATCTCCTCAAACGAGTTTAGGGATCATGAACCAAATATGAAAAAGTATTTAGATATTGAAAGACATGGGTGGGTGATCTAAGGGACTTTTAAAAAAGTGCCTACTTCCCGTTACGTCAGTTTGGTTCCTAGAGTACCACAGGCACCTGTGTTTTGAAATCTAGGCTGATGATAATGTCACAAAACCAGTAAAGGTCATTCTTGGAAAGATATGACCTGTAAAGGCACAACTGGAAGCAAACAGTTTAAGTTTTTTGGGGGGTTTGTTGTTTGTTTGGTTGTTGTTTTTTGAGGGGAGGTGTGGTTTTGTGGTTTTTCTGGGACAACCGGCTATGATAAAATGCCAAAAGCAAATTATTCTACCTGAAATAATGCAACATTATGTGCTTATTTAGCCCTGCCTGAAGTAAATACTATAATACTAATGTTAGCCTAAGCCAAAGCCATTAGCAAAGTAGGAGGAAGCCTCTAGCATGTAAAAAGAGACATAAACTAGTTTGTAGTCATGTAACTATAGGGTGAGACTTAACATTCCAGAGATGTGCTTTCCCCACATTTTCTGGACTGGAGCTGCAGAACAACAATCCAAAACACTTTAGAGGAAACAGTGTCCTCATCTTCAGTAAGATTCTACAAAAATGAGCACAACTGGAACTTGAGGTGAATGAATAAATCCATTTTGACCCATAAATACATCTCTGTATGATTCTAACCTTTCACCTTATTATCCAACACCCATGTTGTATGTTTTGGTCTCTCTGGAAATGAGCACAATAATGTATAATGCAGTCATTTCTTGATTTTCAGTGTATGTCTTCAGTTCTTCTTTCATTTATGCACCCAAATTTGACACTGCTGTCACAAATTATGATTATCCAGTATTGTTCTCTCTCTGACTGGTGAAACAGACGTCCATGGCAGCATTTTTTTGAGAGTCTATGACTGTTGCTTGGGAGCAAAGACTTTCATCTGACTAGCACTGTTTTGGCAAGCAGTGGAATAACTGCATCTGTGGACATGCTTGCCCCATAGTGCAGGAAAAAAGCTCTGCATGATAATGCTCTGGTTCTGTTTGTTGTTGACAAAATACTATATTTTATGAGAAGACTGTTGTCCTGCATCCTCTAACTTAGATTAAGAAGAGAGACCCATTTGGCAGGGAAAACTGAGAAGGTATATCGAAAAAGAGGGAGAACGGAAAATGGATTGAGATACAGAACAAAGGGAAAATACTTCCTTTCTTTCCAAAGCAAAGAATAAAACTATATCCAAGTTTATCTTGATCAAGTAATTTACTCCATGAATCCATAGATGTTTTCACCTTGATAGTGCTGATTTACCAGCAGTGTCCTGACTGCTGGCTTCATGTTATTTCTTGGGCTGTGCGAGTGCTACTGTTGATGGCCCTGCAGTCTGAGCTGGACCTGAGAAATGAAAACAAATGAAAACATAAATACACTTTTGCTGGATTGCTCTTCAGCTGAAAAAGTTTCCTGATGAAGTTGGAAACACAGCCTCACCTGAGGTCAGTATGGTATGAGAGGAGGTGGAGGCAAAAAACAGGAGGCAGAAGGAGGTTAAACAGGTCTTGCCTCAGCTTTATCAATGCTCACAGTCCTGCTACACTCCACTCTGTTCTTCAGGCCTCATGAACATGTGAGCTTAAAAATTCCTGTAATAACTTCTTTTTTGGTTTGGGGTTTTTTTGTGATGTTAATGATTTCTTTTTTTTCCCCATCACCTAGTTGTGTCTGCTCTGAATAAGGCATGGTGTGTGAACTGTTTCGCTTGTTCTACTTGCAACACTAAGTTAACACTCAAGTAAGTTTATCAATAAAAGAGCGATGCCTTCAAATATACCAGTGTTTATCTTCAGAGTGTAGATGTTCCTATAGTGTAACTGTACGGTATGAAAAACATAAAAGCAGCATTGAGAAAACATGTGCATCTTTCTTCTTCTTGCTCCACTTAGTAATTTACATCTTGTTCAGCTCTTTGTTCAGGTCTTCCTTCACTTAGTCTTCTTAACTCTTCTCCTTTTCTGTCCTTTATTTTTATTGTGTTTAACTCTAAAGGGATAAGTTTGTTGAGATTGATCTAAAACCTGTCTGCAAACACTGTTATGAGAAAATGCCAGATGAATTTAAGCGACGACTTGCCAAACGGGAACGTGAAGCAAAGGATAAAGAGAAGCAGAAAAAGAAAAAGCCAATCTGTTTGTAAACTTTTTTTCCTTCTCACCACCATCTCTGCTCCTTTCTTCTTTGGTCAGTGCTAAGGATGCTTCTATTTTTTTCTTGCATGAATTTATGGCATGCAAAATGAAAATATTTTTCACACAACTGCAACTTGAAATCTTAACTTGTTATTCCATTATCTTACGTTTAGTCTGTACAGCTCTGCAGTTAGGTTTTGAAGGCTTTTCAAATGCCACAGTTAATAAATATGGGCATTTGGGTATAAAGTGCATAACTTACTCAACAGGGTACTTGTAATCACTGCCTACAGTGTATAACCTTGTAAAAGTAACTTCACAGATATGTCTAAATTGCAGTTGTAATTTTTTGCCTATGCACATTTAATAGTGTACTTTTAAAATGTATTTTTCACTGTCCCTGATGCTAAAACTTTGTCTGGTTTTTGCTGTGTCATTTTAGGAATAAATTTGTTGAGTTTGACATGAAGCCTGTCTGCAAAAAGTGTTACGAGAAGTTTCCCCTAGAGCTGAAGAAAAGACTGAAGAAACTAGCTGAAACTTTGGGAAGGAAGTAAAGACTTCATCTGCTCTCCTCCTCCTTTGTGAAAATCCTATATATATTACCTGGGGGGAATGGGGCTGTTTTGAGGCTGCAGGCAGGCAACAAATGTGATGTATGCCTTTGAATGAAATTGTCTTAAGATTCTCTGTTTTCTACCTGAGAACATGTATGCTTATTTGTTGGCAAACAGACTGTACTTCTGAACTAAATTAAATACCTGCTCACCTGAAAGGTTTCTGACCCTGACAATGCAGTTGAACTGATGCAGGTGGCCCATTCTGCACAGTCGTCTCTGTGGAATTTTACAGGGAGAATTTGCTTGTGAATACCTGTGAAAAGAAATTGTGCAAATGTGTCCAACTTTAGGGGCGTGTATTGTCATTTATATTGATGAAAGTATTAAACTCCATATTAAGCATGTACACAAAATGTGCTCAAGTGACTTGGGCAAGAATCCGACACACTTCTCCGTGTTGGAAAAATCTATACTTGGATTTCAGGCCAAGTTGTCTCATTAAGGAGCCTTGTTTCAGATGGTTTGATCAGATTTCTAAATACAGTCACTATACAAATGACCTACTTCTTATAGATTATGCTTACATGATGAATCTTTGTGCATCAGGCTTAGCATGAAATACCTATATAAAATACGTATTCCTATTGCAAGAAACGAGCATACTCAGAACTACTTGAATTTTGCGATATTCCACTCAAAATAACACATTAACTTTTATATATGCTTTTGCCTTCTATTTACTTTTTGTGCCTTATTCTGCTGGACCTTACATAACAGTGTTCTATTAAATATATATATATAGTTTTATTTTTTATTTCATATTTTTATGCAGAAATATATACAAGGTATTTTCAAAAGGTAACATTAATTATACAGGATGTGAGAAATATTTTATTTCAAATGTGAACACCTGAGCTTAAAATTTAGCTTCTAGGCTTCATTGATTTTCAGAACAGTACTGAAAGTGTGTATTTCAGTGAACTGGCAATATTACTTTTACACCTAAGGGTGTAAATATACAAGGTTTGATCCTGCTAGGATCTACTTCTATAGCCATCCTCAAGAACTGAGCTCACAAATCATCAGAATTCCTTATAACATACATTTAATTGTTTTATACTATTGACTTCTGTCCATGCAAATCTATTTTATTTTTCCCTTTCTTATAGAAAATACAGTTACTTAGAACTTCTTGATGGTACATTATGAAGTGTGCTTTTTTTTATTATTCTTATTATTTTTTATATATTAGTGACTTAAACAGATGTTATGTAATTACATTATAAGAAGTAATATTTTCTTTTCCGTTTATGAAAAATTAGTTGCTTTAAAATGCCTGCTTTCCAGTGTCCTCAATAAAGGCTATGTTATTAAATCTTGTATCACCTCTCTTAAATGAGTGCTTGAGACGGGTGGGAAAGCAACTAGGCTCCCTTGTTTCCTTATGCTTTTACCTGTGACTGTCTGTAAGTACTTCGTTATTATCCTGATTTAAAGGGGACGTGCCCTTCCCACTGTAGTTAGTTCTTAGGTTCATGAAAGAAACTGCAGTTTGTTATATAAAGAACAGCTTGATTCTTCTTAGTCTTTTCTGCATTGGCATAGTCGCTGGGTTTTCCCCAAGAAAGTATTTTGTCTGAGTTTAAAACATGCACCTTCCTATCAACTTTTTCAGTCTTCTTGCACTGTAATGAAACTGTCACTGTAATGAATCTTCCAGCTTCGTGCTAGATAAGGTGTTTTTTGACTACTTTATCCTGTGTAGTTATTGAATGCTGTAACAGTTCAGCAACTGAATGCAGTCCTGACTGCGTTCAAGACTAGAAAAGCTTAAAATGTCCCCCCAAAAATTTACATAACTAGCATGATCGCGCCCCACTGGGATTTTGAACTGTGCCATGGATTGAGTAGACCGTACTAAGCAATGCTCTCTTCGAGTTCTAATTCACTTCTTGTTCTAGTTACACTGACTACACCTTTTCCTTCAGACTATGTATGCACAGGCTTACTGCTTACAGAGTTGGGAATGGTCCCTAAGCCTGAGGCTAAATAGCAAGACCTGGCTCACCTTCACATTGCTTGGGATTACATCCATGTACAACACAGAGGCCTCATTTGCACTGTGCAGCCACAGGTCGGCTCTTGACTCAGTGGTAGCCCTGTGGTCCTAGCACGGGATGGGGTTTTTTTCTGTTTCCAAGTTCCTGATGGTAAAAGCTGTGCTACTTGTTCACCAGGGCAGCAGCTTTCATTACATGAACATGAACATGTGTATCTTAGACCCCACGATGTAGCCCCGAGAACATCTGAGGGTACCTGAACATTCAAAGCCTGATGAATCATGGAAAAAGGTTGGTTGGTTGGGACTGCTGTAGATCAACTAGCCTAACCATCTGCTCAAAGCATGTCTAGCTCCAAGCTGGATCATTACTGAAGGTCTTGCTCAGCCAAGCTGTATCTCCACATAAGATTTCACAGACCTTTGTGGGAAATACATTCCAGTGCTTAATGGTGAAATTTTTTTATTATTATTGGAGTCCTGTCTCAAGTGGAGGGTTCCCTGAATCCATACTGCTCTCCTGGGAGCTGTCTTTGGAGTGAACTGTCATTGAAATAATACTCCTGGCCATTGTCACGAAGAGGATTAATTAAAAGCAGTTGCAAAACAGAGCCAGGGAGCAAGGTTGCAATTTGGCAGCCTGGATGATTACATGGCTGGTGTTGAAGCTCACTTCCTGGCCTGTCAGTGTTCTAAATATTATGCATAGCTGCACATACTTTCCTGAAAGAGGTAGAGTTTATTGTTGTTTTTCTACCCATCACCCCTGCTAGGTCTCTTAAAAAAGGCTATGAGCCTGGGATTTGGGAATGGATGCCTCAGAAGTCTGGCCTCTTTCTGCTGCATGGGCCCAACCACACAAGAGCGAAAAAAATTCCTTCAGAAGCCCCTGTTTAACTAACAGTAGGGAGCGCTTCACAAATCCCAGTGGATGTAGGCGTAGGGGGAAGAAACTGAGCCTAAAGCTCTTCTGCGGCTGGTGGTGCAAGCGCTGGGCTCTATTCCAACGCGCAGGTAGCGAGGCAAGCTGCCCGCAGCTGGGATTTAGGGACAGCACTAGAGTCAACTGCTGCCCTGCCTGGTGAGCTGCGCCCCTGGTACTGACACCACTGGGGACATGCAGTGTGCCCCTTCCACAGCGATGGGTGAGAAACAGCAGCCACTGTCAAGGCGCTGGACCTTGTGTGTAAGGCGGCAATTTCCCGCGCCTCCCCATCGGCTGATAAGCAGTAACTTCCTCCATGAGCCAGCTGAGACAGCACCAGTGTTCTCTGCACCGGCAGCAAGGCTTTTAGTGCTCAGCCTGGCAGGTGCTGATAACCCCAGCTGCAGACACGCTATAGAGAAGTACAGAGACAAGAAAGATCTTTATTGGGGAATTAAATCCAATGTCTAAATAAATCACCATTAATAGAAGAACTAATAAAAGAGAGGGTTAATCTGTTCAGTCAGGGTGTTAATATCAGTGCTGCTGGTCTCCCTACATGAACAAGCAGCCGTGTTTTCTTTTTTCCTGCAAAGATGGTAGAAGCTGTGGGGAGGTCAGTGTTTTGCAGGCGTAGCAGGACTCACAAGGCTATCAATGGGTTGCTTGATTAAGAACTGGACAATCTTTTAATGATGCTTTTTCAGATACAGAGCCCATCAGCCTCATTTTGACCAGAGTGTCTGAACTGACAGAAGGGTAGTTCAGGGGAGATGACCTGAGGCTGCCTGCTCTGAACTGCACCGTGAGCCACCACGCCAGGAACACCACGCTTAGGGCTCCTACTTG